AAAATAATTAATAATTATAATTATTAATTAATATAATAATTAAAAGAATAATTAAATATTTATTAGTTAATAAATTAAAATAAGTTAATAAACTGATTTTTTTTCAAATATTATTTTAAAAAGATAAAAAATTAATACTTTAATATTTTTTTATGAAGACAATAACCACAACTAATAAGTTAAGATTCTTTTGTAGACAAAATTGCAAGCTAGATGGTCAAGTTAATAATACCGCGTGGAAGATAAGGGGCCAATTAATTGATCTTAGTATTAACAAATCTTGTCATTTTTGTCGTAGACTAGTAAGTCGTAACGTAATGTATGTGATAGAAAAAATTGTCATTTTTGTCATAGACTAGTAAATCATAACGTAATGTATGTGATAGAAAAAATAAAGAGAAGAAAACTATAAAGATATATAAAGAAAGAAAGAGTTTTTTTTTTTAATTTTATTTATTTATAAGCATGTGCAAGAGAATATTCTATGGTATAAAATCAATTCATCTAATTATATCAATCAATTATAATATAAACCTAATCAATATAATTATAATATAAATATTCTATAACATCTCCCCTTAAACTCAAGGTGATGATGAAGAAACTAGCTTGAGTTTGGAAAAAAGAGTGTGGAAGCGTTTAAGAAAGTGAGTTTTTGGTAAAAAAATCTACATATTGAATATGTAAATCGGTGCAATTGACACCGTTGAAGGAGAAAGAGGCAATATCTAATCTGGGCAACAGCAATGTCGAAAGTTTAATTGTGAGAAATCAAGAGCAAAATCAACGGCAATTGAATGCGAGGAAGGTTGAAGCAACACTAGCCGTGGGAGTAACATGTATTGCTGGCGTAATAAAGGAACTAGATCAAGAAAACCCAATTGCAAATAAGCCCAAGAAAAAAAGCAAAGGCGATGATAATCAGCACCACCTACAAGCAAAGTAGCAACTCACAAAGGAGATGAACAATAATAGTAAAAAAGCCCTCAAGGCTCTGTTAGTATGATAGAAAAAATAAAGAGAAGAAAAATATAAAGATATATAAAGAAAGAAACTCTTTCTTTATTAATTTCACTTATTTACAAGTTTGTATAAGAGAATATTCGATAGTACAAAATCAATTAATCTAATTATATCAATTAATTATAAGATGAACCCAATCAATATAATTATAATATAAATATTCTATACCAATATGTTTGAACGTGGAATTGGCGTGCATGAATCTGGCCTTCCTGAATGTAGTGTTGTTGTTTGGTAGACCAACTGTTAAGTCTCTAACTTCTTGGATGGTGCAAAAAAGAAAACCAATTAAATGGAAATCTAGAATGGCTCCTGATTCAACTCTTTTTTTAACTCTTCCTGGATCATGATAATTTAAATTAGTACATCATGGAATCATGACTTGGGATTTTGTTTTTTTGGGGTAAAAAATGACTTGGGATTGTGTAAATTGTAGTATTAGAAACGCCATCACCACATAAGATTTTTTTTTAAAAAAATTTTGAATTACACAATAAATTTTAATTTTCTATAGTACTTTCTTAATTTAGCTATCAACTCAAACTCAAAATATTTTATTTCGCAATTATTATTAAATCACTTATGTTATTCACATTCTTTTTGTTTTTGTTTTGGTTTTTACGCGGCAAATAAATGATCTATATTCCATTATTCCACCCTAACCAGAGGTGGGCCGCGATAAGGTGTCTACATATATAGGGCATTAATGCCAGGAGGTCCAAGTTTGTTATAGCTCATCAGATCCATTTCAGAGTGAAGAGAAGCTGGGCTGAAGATAATTTGTTAGCAGCCCAAAAGTCTAAAGAGTTCTAACATTGCTGACATCGGTTGTTTACTAAGGTAATTTCATGGGCCAGCCACAATCGAGCGGGGATAGCTCAGTTGGGAGAGCGTCAGACTGAAGATCTGAAGGTCGCGTGTTCGATCCACGCTCACCGCAACTAATTTATTTTTATTTTTATTTTCATTCAGAATGAACAGCAGCTGGGTCGAAGATAATTTTTTAGCAACACAAGAGCCCAAAGAGTTATTTTTTGGCATTTGAACATTGCTAACAGCAACAGAATATAGTTACAAAATTACTTCATAAAATTATGAACACAGAAACAGGGATAGCTCAGTTTTGATTTGCTGAAATTGAAGAAGTTGATGCATTCAGTTTTTGCATAGATTTGCTGCTTTTCATGTCGGATGATCTTGGGGGCACACTAGCGTAACCAACAAGGCTCAGTGTGGCCCTGAAATTTCCACTTCTACAATCAACAACTTACCAATTCTTCATTTGTATTACATTGATTAAGATTCTCAAATTTGCTTCCTCTCTCAGCTACAGTTAATGCATTCTTCCTCTTCTTTTCTGATAATCTAGGTTGTTTCTTTACTGTTTGTATCTTCTTCATAAAGTTCTGTTGTGCCCTAAATCTGGAATTAATGAGTTCTTGGATTAGTGGCCTAAATGTGATGCAAATAAAATAAAAAAAGGAGGAAAAAGAAAAATTCATTTGGCCCTAAAATCCTGGCTTTTGTGGTGCAGAGGAATGGCTTCCTACCATAAGCACCTTGATCTTCATTTCTAACTGAATTTGGCCTACCCCCCAAAACCATCAAGGAATAGAGGTTAGTAGTTCAATCTGCTAGTAAATGTTACTGGATATATGGTCCCGCTAGCTTATTCTAGCACTGTGTTGCTTTTTTCTGCTTTTAATTCCTTGTTGGTATTTTTTGTGCATACTGGACCATGTGGAGCAATGCTGAGGATGGAGTTCAATCGTCTCTTGAGATCTAGGAAAGGATATCCTATTTCTATTGCAGTCAAACAATTGGAAAATAAATAATATTGTAGTTATAATGATCGATATGTTTAGTTTAAACAAATGGGTATGACGCATGGACAGCATTGCATGCCCTATAAGGCTAACCAAAGACAAACCCTCTGAGGAAGATTGGTGGCCAGAAAGGCCAGCTGGCTAACCCAAAGGATGGGACAAGTATGTGATTGTTTTTACAAGAGTGAAAATCTTCGTTCACTTGTTTTCACTGTTTTGATTGCA